ATGTGTGTTGTTATGTGAAAATCACTTAAATGAAGTGTTTTGTTCTTTGAATGTGTTCTGTTTTTTTGGAAAGGAAGTGTTCTTTGGTATTCATGTTATTTTATTGTGGGGTTTAGAATGTCTTCATGTGATATTGTGCCGTGTCAATTGTGATCTGACAGGCATAAGAGTGTACCAATAACAGGAATAAGATAGTTTAGCTAACATAAGATGAATCAACCCTCATAACACTATGCACAATAACAGAAATAAGATAACTCTTGTAATAATAATTCATTCAGGCAAAAGGTTTTCAATTCCATTATATATATCAACCAAACATAATCCACAATTCACCTTAAAAGTCTAAGAAAAATACATAGATTTCATAAAATAAAAAACCATCAGTTCAACATATTAAGATCCACAATTCACCCTAAAAAGCCTATGAAAAACACATAGGCTTCACAAAATCAAAACCATCAGTTCATCTTCAGCTAATGGACATGGCCATTTCTACCAAACACAATCACAACAAGAACCATAACAACAACAACAATCAACAAGAACCATAACAACAATGATCAAACAAATCATCACTATTACCAATAAAAATAAATAAATAAAATCATCACTACATACATTTTCCTTTCAAGGTTTTTCACTTGAGTTAAGGTCTTCTCAAGAACCAAAATTACTTCGGCATTCTTGTGACCATCAACCTCAATCCCTGTCACTTTGTTTTCAAGCTCCTCAAGCTAAGACAAGCTTACTTCTTTCACACCCGACCTATCATTGTGTTGTTTTTCCATGGCCACCTTGTCCCGTAACTTTTCTTCTAAAGCTCTTTTTGAGCCTTCAATCTGATGAAGTATGTCTTTTGGAACTCAGACAATGCGGGATCAATCCAATCAAAGAAACCACAATCTTTTATCTGTTGCATATCAATTAGAGCAAAAACCATATTTTTATCCACCATTTCTTCATTCCTGTCTGAACAAAATTGTTGTAAAATTGCAGAACAAAATACAATAATAAATTACCTTTCTAGATGGACACCCGTAGAACCTCCGACATGGATTGTCGTCAGTCATGGAGGTGAAAACATCGGCCTCTTTCTTATAGCCGCACAGCTTCCGCACCGGGATATTGGATGAAGCGCTATGTTGCGAATTAGGGCTTGTACGAGACGAGTACGACATTTTCAGAGGATGAAGCTGCGAAATTAGGGCAACACTTTGGGGAAGAACACGGATCGAAGCTGCAAAGTCTTGAAGAATACGATCGAAAATTAGGGTTCAATGGATGTTGATACTTGTACGACTAAATTTTCAGAGTAAATTTGCGGTTAGGGCTAGGGTGATGAAGCTGCTGGATTTTGGGGAGAACACGATCGAAATTAGGGCATGAGGTCGGGTTTGATTTGGGGGAAAATGTGTTTATTTATACCTGTTTACCACGTCAGCAACATGTTTGTCCACGTAGGTAAAGCTAACGGACACGGTGGCAAGAATGCGACGGCCGTTTCATTTTAGGTTCCGGTTGCAAACATATGACAAAATTAGGTTTTTCTTGCTAAATTTCAAAAGTTTGGTTAAAACAGCAAAAAGTTGTAAGGTCGTGATATTACCAGCAATTAGGCCTAAGAATAATGACAAAAAATTATTTTTTTCAACAACATAAGAAAACAAAATTGTAAACTATCATATGCAATTATTTTTGTAAAAAGATTTCAATTTAGGTTTCTTGTGCATATTTTTCAACTTCCCCAAACAAAAGAATTTCAAATAAACAAGACTAACTTAGACAACGAAGATTTGTCAACTAAAATTTTCATGCAATATTATTTTTCACCATGAGTTTTAAGTATTATTATTTTGAATATTGTATTTCAACTTTCAATATATTTGACAGAGTTTATTATGTAATGTACTTCTTGTGTGATTAATGAAAAATGAATAGACCATAAAAATATAAAAAGATAAATATAATTTAAAATTACATTAATATATATTAGGTGTATCGTAACTAGAACTAAAAAATTAACAATTATATTGGCAATAATCTACTAATCAATTTCATATTATATTAGGTTGCCCCACACACCAAGCTGATATGGCGTTATTTTCTTGTCGAAAAAATTCGATCGCACGCTGAACGTAGGTGGCAGTTCCCACGTCCTCGTTTTTCTACTTCCATTCTCTCTCACACGGAGTTATTCATTCATATACCATCACAGATCCAATCTCATAACTTATACTGCAATTTTCACGTTTCCGAAAATGGCGACAATGGAAAGCCTGATCGGCTTAGTGAACAGAATCCAGAGGGCGTGCACCGTGCTAGGCGATCATGGCGGTGAGGGCATGTCTCTTTGGGAAGCCCTTCCTTCCGTCGCCGTTGTTGGTGGCCAGGTCTCATCTGTTCCTTATCGTTCATCATCTAACATGCTGTTTGATTTTTTCCGAATTTCCTGCAAATGATCTCACATTATTTAGTTTTTTGAAATCGGCACAGAGTTCTGGAAAATCATCGGTCCTCGAGAGCGTGGTTGGGAGAGATTTTCTGCCTCGTGGATCAGGTAAAATCGTCGTCCTTGGTTGTTTGCTTCTTCTTCCCCCTCGGTCGGTCATTATATTTAGATTTTATCCATCTGGCATCAATCAGCATTGTGATTTTTCGTGAAATTTGAGATAGTAAATATTCCCTTTGTGCAGCATCATAGATAAAGGATTCAGTCCACTAACATTGCATTTGTGGCATTGCATGTAATGGTTGACTCACATTTGTGCGCAATTTGTGTTGTGGAGTTGATTGAAGAACTTATAGTTGTCACATCTTAGACTATGGAATGTGCTGTTGTTTGACATTATCAATTTTGTACACTACATATGGCATTATATTTCTGGCTAGCCAGAAAGAGGTAACCGATGCTTTTGCTGATCATAGATCAATTTGGACTGCGGGAAGTGTTTGTGATATGGTCTCTTACAGTGAATCACGATATGTAATAGACAAGTTTTGTAAGGGAACTGATAAGAAAGAAGTTCAGTGGAAGATCATTTGGTAGGTCAATTCTCACAGCTTTTCACACTGCTGTGAGATAATAATAGTTGATGATTTTCTTGAGAACAGGGTATTGGAACTCATGTACAATTGTTAAACCATAGCAAGCTGTTTTAACAATAACTCGTACTTCTTCTATTTTTGGTCTCTTTTAAGGCATTGTGACAAGGAGGCCATTGGTGTTGCAACTCCATAAAACAGAGGGAGGGACAGAGTATGCAGAGTTCTTACATGCACCAAAGAAGAAATTTTCTGACTTCGGTAGGAGTTTTATGTACTTAATTTTCTTCGGGAACAACGTTCATAGACTAGTGGTAATTCTAGGATGTTGCGTTCAGTTAACTTCATGTTGCCTTCTTTTTACTAGTCTCTCTTGTTTTTGATTTTTTATTTTTTTTGCTTACTTTTATTCTTTTCTTTTATTTTCGTTAGGCTTTTCGTATAGCGGAGTTTCTCTTCATTTTCATGTTTGTTCACTTTGTATCTTTCACCGTCAGTTTCTGCTTCCTACATCACCTAACCTCTCCGTTACATTAAGATTCATGTATATTCCACCGAGTTCATGAAGAAACATGTATATGACTTTCTCCCAGCAGCTTGCTGTGTGCCCATAATATAAGATTTTGAGAGAGTCAAGAAACCTAAATGCAATTTCAAAACCTTGAAGACTTTCATGAATAATATGCCCTGAAAAGAGTAATACTTGTGGAGGAATCTCAACAGTTCCATTTAAGTATGTTAGAAAGCTGTACTATTTAATTTAGTGTGATATAGTATTATTTTAGATGTATCGTGCATATTGTTGATGTGGAGTTATGAGTAAGGCATAGTTTTTGGTAGAATATTATAGTAAAAAAGGAATTTTTTTTTAATGAATTATAAATGTATCTGTCTGCATATGTTCATTTCAAAGTTTATGTTCTCAATAAAAGTATGTTGAGTTACTGTAATTCTATTGACCCAGATATGTTCTCCAGACTACTTGTCAAGTTGCTATAGAATAACATTGCCATGCTTTGACTGTAGCCTTCCAGTTTTTCTATATAACTAGGCATTTTTTTGGATGGTGCAGCTTCTGTACGTCAAGAGATAGCAGATGAGACGGATCGCATAACAGGGAAGAGCAAACAAATATCCAACGTCCCTATCCATTTGAGCATTTACTCCCCTAATGGTTTGTCATTATACTTTCATACTTTCCGTCCACAGTCATTTTCTTTTAAAAAACATGGAATGGTTCATGTTATTTCAGCTCTTAACTCCTAAATTATGTGCTATTGGGAGTTATACCTTTAACTTTAAATGCTTTCTTAACAATGCTGCTGCTGTTATATCTGAAAATAAATGGATATGATATATAAGTTCTGTAGTTAATAGGTTACATACAAAATTTTATGTGAAGTTGATGAAGATGTGTGAATAGTATGAAGCTCTATTTTGTTTCCTGAATAGCTATAAAATATGATCGGCAACAAATCCTCACAGATGTCATATTTCGCTTTTTGTGTCATATGATAATTTTGGATGCATCTTTAAATGCTGGTATATATACAGATGGTAGTTAAAGATGTGAGACCGGGAATATAGACTTTATATTGTGAATCAAGTTATATTGAGAGGGATATTTAATCATGTTTTTGTTGTCAATTGTATGCAGAGCGTATTTACACGAAAAAAGTTCTAAAAAGAGATTTCTCTGTTAATTAGCATTGGTTTATTTAGGTTTATTTCTCCATGTCATTATTCTGGTATTCCTTCTACCAATCACTCACCTTTTACATCCCATGTCCTGTTTGACAGCATTGTTTATTTC